TTAGAAAATACTTTCTGCAATTTCTCACAAGTCATTGTTTCTCAAAATATTCTACAAGTTTTGGAATTACAGAGACTAGAACACGTTTTGCAGAGGATACCCGTGGCTGACCATCCGAGGTTTTCTGACAAAATGTGGCTCTCAGTCCATCCTCACCATCTCTTTTAAATATTTTGTTAAGATGTGACAGGTTTAGGCCAGAGCCTGCAATGTTTTCTGCCGTATTATGTTTAAAAACACCATTTGCAATTAGAACATGTAATGAAGTAATATTTTTCGATTTCTCATTGCTGAATGAACACTATGAAGTACAGAAATTGGTGGAAAACTAAATTGTAAAATTTGTGAATCTGATAAATTGGCCTGTTTTATCAACATTCCCAATGTTTTCACATCTTCCGTGGCATCGTGAGCATTGTACGTGGTGTTTAAAACCGTTTTTACCAAGGTCTCCTGTTTATAATTTGGCTGGCCACTAAAGACTTTCTTAAAGACACCAAGTGAATCAATAAAACCAGAAACTGTAGAAAATAGCATAGTTGTCATTTTCAGACTACTAGTATGTAAGGTACTCATAAGAACTAGGAAATCAAATTTCCTCCCATTGTGTGCAACTAAAACTACATCTTGGAAAACTTTAAACCATGTCAAAAAATCTGTCAAAGCAGATGTAATATTCACGGCATCAACTTCTTTTCCATGGACAGTCATTTTATCTAAATCTGAATTTACAACTATTCCAGTGGTATTCATTGCCTCCTCTGTAATGGGCACCTTGGGAAGAATATATGTGTTATAAACAGACCCCGTTTTCAATTCAAGTGCAGCAAGTTGTGTAATATGGGGCATCTGTCTTCCTCGAACTGAAGTGATTTAAAAAAATGCAAACAATATAATTCAATTATTCTATAAATTTTTATGTAATTTTTTTTTACAAATGTTTTCTTATCAATATTTAGTATGTTCAACTTGCCCCGTCCCCTTCAAAGGAATTTACTGATAACACACTTTATTTTCTGGATATCCTCATTGTGGCTTGTGTCCCACATTCAGTAAAGTTTTTTTTTTTAAATTGTGTTTCTGATTGTTTTCAATTTCAGGAAGGGGGTTATCTAGGACACAGCTAAAACTTTGGAAATTGAAGCTGTGTGTTAAATTTTCTAGAAGTAAACTTACTCAGATCTGTGGTCTCTAAATCAAACATCACAAGAGAAGGATCTCCAGTGGACAAGGTGACAGGCTTGAAAACACCACGTGGAACAGGATCCGGGATTTGTTCAATATCAACCTCATCTGCCAATCCAATCTCTGAAAAAATTTTCATGTCATGATGGAAGTTGCAACAATTTTCATTTATATATAAACATTTAAAAGTATACATGAAAGTTATGGATACCTGACTCATAAGTGTCTCCCTCAAGTGCCTGGAATGCACACTGTGTAACATTTCTCTCCTGTTTCAACTGAACTCTTCTTTTCTTTGTTGAGGGTAGTTTTGATCTCTCCTCAATTCTTAGACGCTGCTTCATCTGTTTTGCTGCATACTTCTGGGTATACTTTCCAGGTGACAAACCAGCTTCCTCATCTACCTTTCAAAAGAAGATTACAATTTCAGAAAAATTCAATTTTTAACCTTTAAATAGTAATAATCTTGACCTTTGTCAATTATCAGAAACAAAATCTGTGTGAAATTGAAGAGGATTTGGTAGCTACTGTAAAATTGGTCATTTTTGTGCAGTTAAATTTACACAATTAGAGGAAAAATTACCAGTTGGAGGGATTAAATTTTGTGGTTATGGAGATAAATAATACAATGTATTGCAGAATGAAATTTTCATACCATGACAAATTTAGAAATTAAACCCATGAAAATTAATGATTTCACTGTAAGTAAGTAATAATCAAGTCCAAACAAATTATTATTATATACACAAGAACAAATACTTACAGTTAATGTAGGCTTGATGGAAATTGCTGAAATCAACATGATGCTAAAAAAAATTAAACAACAAAATAATTAAAACAATCAACATTTTTAAACAATAACAATCCCACAGAAACACAAACAACTGAAATTAGGAAAAGTAAAGAAAAATCCAACAATAAAAATTTTCAATCAAGATACCTTTGAGATGTAGCCTCTTCCTTCATTTATGAAGGCTGCTGTTGCATGGACCCTAAAATCAAGTGCCTCTGAATTTCCATAGTGGAGTGACTTAGGTATTCTCATGGTGACTTCTTTGTTAGAATGTTCACTGTTGACTAGAGCCGAGGTCCACATACTGGGATGCTCGTGCTGACACTTGATCAAAAATGGGCTCGAGATGCTGGCGAAGTTGGTTGTCCTTCAAAGCTGCTTTGTACGGAAGACTTCTGTGAATGTATTTTTCAGATGGATTCCGTTTAAATCCACAAAAGCGAGCACAGCACAAGGAATGATCACCAAACTGATGTGGCAATACGGCCTTGAGGTTTTCTTCTAAATCGTCTTTGCTGCGATTTTTTGCAAGGGCATATTTAATGCATTTCTGCAAGTGAATAATAACATTTTTACTGAGCTTCACGCCTTTTGTTCCATGAAGTGCATAGAGTCGTTTTCCAATGTTCTTAACCACATGATTTTTGTCCAGTCTTTTCTTCATTGTGATTCCTAAGACACTTTTAATTCTTGTAATCAATGTATTGTCCCCATCTCCTTCGAGAATATCTACAGGTGTACCTGAATCTCTCAGTTCTTTTATACTTTGAACACCGCTTATGCTTTCCATCAGACGGGCACTTCCAGTGTGATTATGGACGCATCTGTGATTTCTGATCTGTTGACCAGGCCGGTTCCTCTGCCACCACTTACAGGTGCCACAAGTTCTATGAGATACCACTGTTTTCACAGCTTTTTTCCCATACTTGGCTTTACTCATAAAAAATGTATGTGCTGCAATTTTGTAAAAGGTACCCTAGCTCATCATAAATGTTTGATATATACCAAGGAGTGGATTTCAAAGGCATTAATTTATTCTCAGGGTAATTTAAAATCAGAGCCCCCCCCCCCCCCCCTGGTACCACTGACTCTGGGGCCTTGAATTTCCTGCAAATGGCTCTGTATCGGTCAGACGTCTATAGAACATTGAGAGAGCTATACTTATACATATATTCTGGTCATCATATATATCATAGTACATATATATTCTTATATTATAAATAAGCTTAGATGAAAACTTTAATTGATATATAGCCTTTACATCCTTTGTTTTGATCCACTTTAATGGCTCCTCTATTCTCCTGATAGGTCATGTTTTGAACAAATTTAAATCTACATTACCTTTTTGATGCTTTTATATTGATGATCACTCATGGCCTTGTGAAGAATTTTAACGATTTCCCATATATTCCTTAAAAAAACCTTGATCACCCATTGTGACCCCATTCTACCCCCAGGAGTTAAGATATGAACAAACTGAGCATGCTTCCCTATAATTATGGTCAATCACAGCTTTGCTATTCTCGAGAAAAAGAATGTTATTTTATGTTATCCTCGTTTGATCACCAATAATGACCCGCCCTTGCTCAAGGAGTCATGATTTGAGTAAACTTGAATCTACACTACCAGAGGATGCTTCCATATGCCTATGACAAATCATGGTTTAAGTGTTCTTTAACCTTTGTATTGTTATGTTAAACTTTGATCCACCATTGTGCCCCCCCTTCCCCCGAGGGTCATCACTTTCAGTGGATGTTTCCATATCTATGACCAATCACGGTTTTGCTGTACTTGAAAATAAAATTAAAGATCTTACCAGGGGGTCATGATTTGAACACAGTTAGTTGAATCTTCACCACCAGAGGATTTTTCTACATGAGTTTCATATTTCCTGACCTAATGGTTCTTCTTAAGATTTTCCCTGTTTTCCTACATTAAAGTTTGATACTGCATTGTGCCCCCCTACCCCCGGGGTACAAGATTTGGGCAAACTTAAATTTTCTCTACCAAAGGATGCTTTTACATGAGTTTCATCTTTTCTGGCCCTCGATCTGGTTCGTGAGAAAAAGATTTATAGAAGATACCATTGATTTATCACTAATTCATAATCATCTCCCCTTGGAAGAGGGCGTGGTCCTTCATTTGAACAAACTTCAATTCCCTTCACCCAATGAAACTTTGTGGCAAGTTTGGTTTAAATTGATCCCATGATTCTTGAGAAGAAGATAAAAATGTTAAAAGTTTACGACAACGACGACAGACAACGGACAAATCTTGATCTGATCAGAAAAGCTCATTTGAGCCTTTTGGCTTACGTGAGCTAAAATATGTAAACAGTTAAATAGGAAAGATATGCCTCAATTATTTTACAGTATATTATTTATATATGTCACGGTGTGTTTTTGTATCACGCGAGTAACTCAGGTGACCTATTGCTACATGTATCTGTTTTCGTCCGTCGTCGTGCCTCCTTTTAACATTTTCAGCTTCTTCTCACAAATTTTGTCCTACACTCGGTACTCAGAGCAATTGAGCAGTGAGGGATATTTTTCGCGCTAGCACCTACTGCAACACGGGACCTTGGTTATACCTTCTCATCGCAAGGACCGGTCTCCACGTCCCACAGTGGGATCCGAACCCGCGACGTAAGGATCGACTCCTCACTTCGGGACTTTAGAGAAATGATATAATTACATGCGCATACGTAAGACGAGCGACAAATCGGGAGGGGGATTTTTGCGCCTAGTCAAACAAGATTCTATACTGATATAGGCGTTTCCTGGATAATGTACTTTGCCGCTATTTGTAACATCTGTGACCAATGAAACGAAAGGCTACCTCTCCTGCACTCGCAATGAGCTACTCACTACTTTATAAGATATAGCCAATAAAATCCTTGGAACGACTTTACTTTACCGTTCCCCAGAATAAGGCGCCAAATATATGAATGCCTTATTCGTTACCCTTATATAGTGCAACGGCGTCAGGTTGTGAAAATAAAAAATAAGCGTTTTTCGGCATTTTTGACCCCAAATTCGTGATCTACGTCAAATTTTACAGTTAAAAACTTCCGTTTAAAACGAATGTTTTTAACCTAAGAAGAGAATGTTACATTAAAACACTTACGTTTACATAAAATAGAATCAGCTGTTCTCTAAAATACCGTTGTCATCATTGCACGTGCGGAGTATGCGCAGTAGATTGACTGGTGAATTTGTAAACAAATGCACGTTGCGATATGCCATACAAACTGAAAGATATCTGGAAAATATTTGAAAATGTCGAAATAATTATAAACTGGTTAATTCAGTTAAATTTATTGATTGATCTGGAAGACTGTATGCAAATTTTGTGACTTTGGATTTTGGCTTACAAAGGGACACTTCATTCAGTCGTGATTGTTACGTATGGAGATGCTTGTTGAAATCGACGAGAGTAAATTCGGGAAAAGAAAATTCCACAAAGGTAGGCGTGTCGAAATACAATTCGGGAAAAGAAAACAAAGGTAGGCGTGTCGACGGGGTTTGGGTCTTTGGTGGAATTGAACGGGATTCTAAAAAGTAAAATTTTTTTTCACTACTGTTGAGGACAGAACAGCTGACACGTTAGTCACTATTATAAAGCAGCACATCAAACCCGGAACTACAATCATCAGTTACTGTTAGAGGGCCTACAGTTCCCTAAACTCAGAAGGTTTCATTCACCTGACTGTCAACCACTCTATTAACTTCGTAGATCCCGACTCCGGTGCTCACACAAATACAATAGAGTGCACCTGGAGAAAAAAAAAATCCATACCCAAAAACGGATCTCAGAAAACATTATACGACAGTTATTTCTCCCAGTACTGCGTTAGAAAGTTGTATCTAAACGACTCTTTCCTTCGCTTTCTCAACCTCATATCGGAAGTTTACAAACCAAACAAAGCCGACTTCATCTCTGATATCACCATTCCGCCATTAAAAAAACACGAAAGCCACTATTAGACCTCAACCCAACCCTCAACAACAGCCTAGATGATTTTCAGATATAAGGTAAGATTTATTTGTTGTTGATTTATAGTAGACATTTTCGCAAACTTTTTACAAGCGAAATCAAAATGGCCGCCGTAAACACATGTACTTAGCAACGGGTGTGACGTCGAAGTTTTGCGCGTGAATCTAGATTCTGGGGACCGGTAAAGTAAAGTCTACCCAAATCCTTTGATATTAATATCATGTATTAAGTAACTGCATGGTATAAAAATCAGTCATTATTTCGTGATAAAAAAAAAGTTGATGTTTTTTCTATATTTATGATATTGCATAAAATAAATTTAGCAACATTTGCATGGACGAGTTATTTATTTAAACTAATAAATGCAACAATATTCTTCTTTTATATTTATTGTTTCTTTTCGTAGGTCAAGTTATATACATTTAATATGAGTTTTATATGTACAATAAATTCGCATAATATATATACACATAATATTGGAAATTTCAACACCCTGCAATAATGCAATGTATTTCACAATTGTCTAGTGCCGAAATCCAATCAATTTTAGTATCATACAATTTGTCCAAATTGAAACAAGTCATTCCCTTGGTCCGCACTTTTTCCTGCGATCAGAAATAAATTACGTGTAAAATACGAAGATTTCCCTGGTATCTTTACTGAGTCACAATGCTAGCTTCACTAATTTAAATTTCTGTTTCAGTTCTAAAAGTTGCATTAAAATATGGAGCTTTTTCGTCGCCGGTTAGGATTAAAGTTGATTGGTGGAAAAGCAACATCATCTTCTTTTGCTATGTCCTGTGTCGACGACGAAGAACCGCTACACTTTTCGCAACTACTAGAACAACCACACAGCTTCAAATCAACATTATCCCTACTCTCTGATGAAGTAAGTTGCAATTGCGAAAGAGACCGAGGTAGCACTATAGCCATGTCGAAGAATTTAATGAACAGCTAGCAGGACACTATACTTGAAAGCTTTAGAATCCTCATTTATATATACAAGAAGGGTAATTATCAAGTCAGATACAGTCTTTATTTTTATTGGTGAATTAATTTATTGAATATTACTAGAATGTCCAATCATATCTAGATGATGGTAAGCTTTACTCCTACAGGAAACTTCTTTTCTTGCCAAGCCCTAGTATAAAATGGCTTTCATTTTAAGGTCAACCCATGTAGCCTTAATAAAATGTATATGAATGTGCAGATTAAAAAATCCAGCAAAGCCAGCGACTTAACGTGCATTGCATTTAATGCCAGCGACTT